GGGGGGGGGAAGGCTTCTGAATGATTTTTTTGGGAATGCGGCCCGTTCAATATTGGAGGCACTCCCGGGATTTGATCGACCCTCGAATTGTAAGTTTCCACCTTCTTGTCGTTTGCCTCTATCTTTTTCTCACCAGACTCCACCCGCTTTGTTAGTGCTTCGAGCATTTCCATCACCTCAGAAGTTTCCCCGGGCCCGAACTCATTCAATTCCCGGCAATCTTTTCATCTCTTCGAGCGTTTTCTCTAACCCGCTCGGGCTCGATCTTGTTGTGGTCATGACTTTGGTTCTGTAGATGTGCTATTGCCGCCTGCTGAGCTTGTAACATTTCGAAAATCAATCGCAAGCTAACTCCATCACCTTCCTCTTCGGGTGTTTCTCGAGACGATGGTCGGGGTGCCCTGCGAATGCTATTTTCGGGGTCAGTTGGTAGGTTAATGTTGATGGCAACCTGTGAGTTAGCGTCGACCAGGTCAGCGATTGGGACACCATTGGGATCAACAAGGGATACGTCATTGCTAGGTACCACGTTATTGTGTTCATCGTGGTGGCCTGACTTGGTGTCAACGTTCAAGTGAGCAGACTGAGAATTTGATATGTTTAGATTAACCTGAAATCAAACTTCAAAGAACAAGTGTAAAATAGGGTGTGTTATGGAGATTCGTATTAAATCACCAGTATTATCCTTAGCCCCACGGTGGGTGTCTAACTATTTGCCCTTAAAATGAGTAACAATTAAATTTGTACGCGGTTTAAAGAATATGTGATTCAATCTAACCCGAATGATCTATGAACAAAAAATAATTAAAGTAACGGGAAAAAAATGAACAAACCACCAAACGTGATGGACAATTAAGCCTAGTTTTTGGATAAAAACTAAAAATTGACCCCAGTCGAGCCCTCGAGACGGGCTCGGTTGCAACTAGATAAATAAGCAGTTGAAGAACACTACAAACAGTAGCTAGAGAACAAAAATAAACTTTTATTACTTTGATATGCGTGCCAACAGTGGTTTTAAAATAAAAAGGTTCTCCCCTTTATATAGTATAGGCGTTTCAGTCCTAGTACAAGTCTAAATAAGGTAAAAGATCTTCTCCTTCTAGTAAATGTTTATCTGCATTTGATATCGGGTGGGATTTACGCCATAACATCCAGTTGAGGGCGGATATCACGGCTCCCTGCTTATCGTGCCTAACTGTTTTTTCCCTTAGTCTCGGCCCTTCACTCTTCTCGGACCCGATGCTCAGCCGTATCCGGTCCCGAGTGCACTATACGTCCTCCCCGGACTTTGAGACGTGGAACCCCTCTGCTTTACTCAAGGTCATGTCAGATCGTGCTTCCCTCTCGTTTCTTTACCGGGTAATCGGGGTAACATTATCCCCGATTTTACCGTACACAATTCTAAAAGACAAATTATATGTGGTATTTGAATGAGCATAATTGATATAGGAAATTTAAGTAATCAATATAAAATAGTTGAGATCGAGGTAATGTTAATAGCTTGATTGTCCATACGCATCAAGTAATAAATTGGCCAACAGACCTTCCACTTTCCTAATCAACAATCTTTCGCTATAAATTACTCATAAACAAGGCTGCTAGCATAGCTCATATGCTGAAACTCGTCATATTTGGCACCATGTTTTCGACGATCGATCTCATGGAATTGATCATAATATACCCTAAGCTTTTCCTCATTTCAGTGCCAACTTTAATAATTGTCTTATTTTGGTATATTTTTTGCAAAAGCACCGGGTCAAGAATTTTCCTGGTAGATTTTGCATGTTACAAGCCCCAGAAAAACCAGCAAATTTGCAGACAAAATTTTCTCAATAGAAGCAGCAGAGAACTAAAGTTTAACAGTGACACACTGGAGTTCATGGACAGGATCTTGCAAAGATCTGGCTTAGGAGATAAAACGTATGTTTCTAAAGGCTTGTTAAGAGATCCTCTGGATATGAGCACAAAAGCTGCTAAGGAAGAAGTGGAGATGGCGGTTTTCGGAGCCATAGATGAGCTTTTGCTGAAAACTGGAGTTAGATGTGAGGAAATAGGTATATTGGTTTCTGTCTGCGGCGTTTTCAATATTATGCCATCATTGTCAAGTGTCATAGTTAAACGTTACAAGCTAAGAGAAGATATCCGCAGCTATAATATGACGGGAATGGGGTGCAGTGCTGGTCTTATTGCCTTAGGACTTGTTCAAAATCTACTCAAGGTTCTTCTCTCAACTGGATCTCACGCTTTTTCATCCTATAACTTCCTTTTTTTACCCCCTGGTTAATTAAAGATCGTGCTTATAAATTTAATACACCATTACATTATGTTAATAATAATTTTGTTATTACCAAAAATATATAAAATAAATCTGTTACATTCAATTATTAATTTGAAGTAATTAATAATATACAAAAAAAATTGTACTTTCTATATATNCCGTCACTATTTACTAAGGGGAATCACTTGATTAACATCTAATTAAGGGTTAGATATCTCATCGATCTATCCCACGATGTTAATGGTAACTTCCCACTCACCTCTAGCTTGCGATGTCAGATTAACAAACTCTCCATACCTATCTATCTTTATAGAGAAAAAAGAAACTTAAATGATAGACGTCTTGACCAATATTGGTTCTATGGTTTCTTTTCTCGGTTATTCCGACCCCACAAACTAGTATTAGAAGAGAACAATTAAAATATCATCACTAATATTTCCATATTTGGTCTCAGTACCAACCTTTTGTACAATGATGCCTAAATTCATCTTATCTTTTGCTTTGATATGAACGATTATTTAGGAAATGCCATCTATCTCATATTATATAACATTGTTATTATCTGGTATACAAAATCCTTTGATCATTATATTTTTATTAATATTCTGTAACTATTTTCAATTATGAAATTGTGAGTTATAGTATTGTTCATGAAGTTCTTTCACATGCAAATATTAAGAAACCGATGTTTGGACTAACATTGAAAAACAAATAATTTAATTCTCGTACTCCTAATGTCGTCATTTTTCAACCAAAAGAGTATAAGTAATGTGAAAAATTAGTACCATCTCTTGAAGTGGCCATATGTGTTTTCCGGTCAGTACTTTTGGGAATGAATTATGATCTTTTATACTTCATCCATCCGTTTCAATTTAGATGACTCGATTCGAAGTTTAAGAGAAAATAGTGAGACTTTTGAAATTTGTGGTTTTAAAAGTTTAAGGAATAAAAATTTTGTGGGGCCATGACATTTGTGTATAAAAGTTTCTCATTAAGGGTAAAATGGTAAAATAAAAAAATTAAAATTAAATTATTTTCAATTAAAGAAATGTGTCATTCATTTTGGAACGGACTAATAAAGAAAGGATGCCATCTAAATTAGAACGGAAAGTGTATCTTTGTTTGAAAATTAGAAAAGTGAAATTCTTAGGCGTTCACTAGATATTAAGTGTATTAGTTAACCCAAAATTCATAAGCAAGACATAGTAACACAAACATACTAACATTGTTTATCAACTCATGATATACTGTTGTGCAGGTGCACGATAATTCCTATGCTCTATTAGTAACGACTGAGAGCACCACAGACAACGTATACAAAGGCAATGACCGGTCAAAATTGCTGAGCAATTGCGTATTTCGTGTTGGTGCGGTCGCCCTGCTCCTCTCCAACAAACCGTCCGATCAGAATACCTCCAAGTATGAGCTCATCCACACCGTCCGATCTCAAACAGCAAACAACGATCGCTCCTACAACTGTATTTTCATGGCAGAAGATGAACAAGGACATCGAGGAATCTCGATTAACAAAGATCTCTTGTATGCAGCTATGAAAACCATTCGATCAAACATATCCACTGTAGCTCCCCTAGTCCTTCCTCTATCTGAACAATTCCGTTACTTAATGAATATTATAGTGCGGCGCTTTCGCACGGGAAGTAAAATGGATCCTGATTTCTCCAGAGCAATCGATCACTTCTTCCCACACGTTGGCGGGAAACCAGTATTGGATGATTTGCAAAAGAAATTGGGATTTAGCGATGAACAAATGGAAGCGTCTAGAATGACGCTGTACAGGTTTGGTAACACTTCCAACAGTTCGATCTGGTACGAAGTGGCTTATGCGGAGGCGAAAGGTAGGGTGAAAAAGGGAGACACACTGTGGCAGATTGCATTCGGGTCGGGTTTCAAATGTAGCAGTGTGATTTGGCGGGCGACCCGATCCATTGATCGCGATGAGATGAATCCATGGCGCGATGAAATTGATGAGTTCCCCGTGGATGTTAGCGAGATCGAACCTCTCTCGGACCTATTCCTTACTTCCAAATAGGAAAAATATATCATTTGTCATCATTTCATAATGTCATGGCACCAATAATATGAAGAATAAACTTACAATATTACAAAGAAAAGTAAGACACGAAGTAAAATTAATATATAAAAAGTAGTGTAAAGGATAAATAAAATTATTTAATAATAAAGAAAGGCAAGATGAGAGCAAAAAATAAGGTTACGACGCGACCACACCAAATCGGTCATTACATGAAATGACATTTTTCGTCGTTACGTAATAACAAATTTAACTATACAAATAGAACGATACGATATAATAAAATTTAAGTAACAATTAACATATTATGTTGAGGCCTAGTGAGGTTATTTCTGTTGTTTTAAGTGATCTGCTTTAACTGCAATTATGTGCTCAGTCATGATCCTTCATTTACACATCATATCTCAGTCTCCATTATCATTTACTCTAATATTACATGTTCTTAGTGTTTGGGTTAAGGAGTATGAGACTGTGAACCCTTGAGACTTGAGAGATTAATGACTGAGTTGGACCTGAGAGCCGAGTTGATAGTGTTATTGTGGATCGGGTTACACGCCGCAACATGCCTTATTAGCTTATTTATTATTGTGGATCGGGATGCACTCAGCAGCAGGCCTTATAGGCTTATATTAGCGCTTTGGCAGGATCCGCCCCTCCGAAGTCTGACATACTAGCAGTGAGCGCAGACACAACGATATAATGTAATGACTCGGCCGGTCGTTTTGAGTATTACATCCCTATTCCCCCATTTACTTCTTATCCAGTGTTCAATTATAATTATGTGACTTATCGGGGAGGTTTCAGAATGAATTAGGACACTTAGTTCCAATATTTAAAGCTTAAGTGAAATAGTTTACCGGATGTTGACTTATGTGTAAATGACTTCGGAATAAAGTTTTGATGATTCCAATAACTCTGTATGATGATTTTGAACTTAAGAGTGTGTCCGGATAATTATTTGGAAGTCCGTAGTTGATTTTGGCTTGAAATGGCGAAATTAAGAAAGGAAAGGTTTGGAAGTTTGATCGGGAGTTGACTTTATTGATATCATGGTCGGAATCCAGTTTGAAAACTTTTATAGGTCTGCTATTTGATTCATGACTTGTGTGCAAAATTTGAACTCAATCGGACTTGATTTGATAGGTTTCGGCATCGAATGTAGAAGTTGGAATTCGTTAGTTTTCATTAGGCTTCACTGGGGTGTGATTCGTGGTTTTAGAGTTGTTTGATGTGATTTGAGGCCTCGACTAAGTTTGTATGATATTTTAGGACTTGTTGGTGTATTTGGTTGAGGTCCCGGGGGCTTCGAGTGAGTTTCGGATGGTTAACAGATCGAAATTTGGACTTGGAGAATTCTGGAAAATGTCCAATTCTGGTGCAATCGCACGTGCGATGGAATTGGTCGCAGGTGTGCGACCGCAGAAGCGATATTTTGATCGCAAAAGTGGGCTGGAGCAGTGTGGGTAGTGGCCGCAGGTGCGAGGGAATTTTCGCACCTATGTGATCGCGGATGCAGACGGGGAGTCGCAGAAGCTCTAGGTTCGCAAAAGCAGACTGAGTCTCGCAGAAGCGAGCTCGCAGAAGCGACATCAAGGTCGCAGAAGCGGAGGCATTGAAGGCTTTGGCAAACCGCATAAGTGGTTGGTTTCTCGCACCTGCGATACCGCAGAAGCAGTTGGTTTCTCGCACCTTCGATACCGTAGGTGCGACTAAAAGGGGTGCAGATGCGAAAGCACTGGGGAGTGTACAAAATAGAGGGGGTCCGTGATTTTTTACATTTCGGACTTTTCAAACACGGGTTGAGGCGATTTTCAAAGAAAATTCACGAGAAATCTTTAGGTAAGTCACTTGTGATCATTGTTAGTCAATAATATTAAATTATCATTGAGTATTTCAACTAGATTACGTGTTTTGAGCTGCAATTCGAGGATTTGGGCCTTGGGATTTTAAAAATAAGATTTGAGGATTTGAAGGTCGAGTTGATGTCGGAATTTGGTAAATTTGGTATCGTTGGACTCGTGGTTGGATGGGCGTTCATATTTTTTTACTTTTGCTGGGTTCTGAGATGTGGGCCCCACTAATAATTTTTGAGTTGAATTTCGGATTTTTATTGGAAAATTTAGCATTTTCATATGAAATTGATTCATATAATTTGTGTTGACTGTATCAAATTAGTTGTGACTAAATTCGAGGAGTCTGGAGGCCGAATCGCGAGGAAAAGGCTTATTGGAATAAAGAATTTGCACGGTTTAAGGTAAGTAACACTTCTAAACTTGGTTCTGAGAGTATGAATCCCTGAATTACGTGTTATATGAATTGTTTGGAGGTGACGCACATACTAAGTGACGGGTGTATGGGCGTGCACCATAGAAATCGTGCCTTAATTGTTTCTGTGGAGTTGCATAATCAAATAATGATGTCATTATCCACATATCTCCCACGTGTTAGAGAAATTGAGCTGAGACTCGTAATAAAGATCATGTTTAGGATACATGCCGATATTTATTTTGGGACCCACAAAGGTCGTATTGTTGTTGAATTAATTATTTTGAAAATGTAAATTTCATACGCAATCACATCTATTATTTGCACATCATATCTCAGTATTTGTTGCCATTCATTGATACGTCATATCATTATGTCGGGTTGATTTTCATGTCATTGTGAGCACTAGAGACTGGAGATTTTGAGTGATATTTATGGGATCGGGTTGCACGCCTTAGCATGTTTTATTTATTTATGCCTGGATCTGGCTATTATAATGTTTCGGCTGAAGGAGCCCCTCTGGAGTCTGCACCCCACACTGTGAGCGCGGTTGAATTTATATTGAGGGATGGATCTTCCGTGGGCATGGATCTTTCCCGAATCATTTATATTTTTGGGATGGATTTTCCCTGGCATGGATCTTGCCTAACTATCTACATTGAGGGATGGATCTTCCCTGGGTTGGATTGGTCTTATACGGTACTGAGTGACTGACTGTCAGTGATATATATTTGGGGATGGATCTTCCCTCGGCTAGATTGGTCATATACAGTACTGAGTGATTGAGTATTCTGAGAGTATTGGGCGCCATCACGACCTTTAGGTGAAATTGGGTCGTGACAGGTACATCACATACAGCTTGTATTTTGGCATGTAGATATAGAGATGTCATATTCCTCACATCATTCAGAATTTGTCTATTTTACTTGTATTTGGCTTATCTGTTGAACTTGAGAACATGCCTACATTTTTGTACTGTTATTTCTACATTGGACTATACCTACTGAGCTCGTTACTACTTTCAGCCCAAAGGTTAGTCTTGTTACTTATTGAGTACATGGAGTCGGTGGTACTCATACTACACTCTGCACTTCGTGTGCAGATCCAGGTACTTCCGGATACGCCAGCTGCTAGATTTCAGAGTTTTATCTATTGGAGACTATCGAGGTAGCTGCTTGGCGACCGCAAACCTTAACTCTTTTTCCTCTTAGTTATTTGTATTGTTCTATATTTTCAGATAGTGTTTTATCAGTCAGACTATGTTATCATTTAGATGCGCATGTACTCATTGACACCAGATTTTGGGAGTGTATTTATATTAGTATTTGTGGTATTTTCTATTAAATTTAAATATTATGTTTTCAAACTTAAAAGATTATAGTGTTTTATTGAGGTTATCGGCATGCCTTATATTGAGATAGGCGCCATCACGACATGCAAATTTTGGGTCATGACAAGTTGATATCAGAGCCTAGGTTACATAGGTCTCACGAGTCATGAGTAGGTTTAGTAGAGTCTTGTGGATCGGTACGGAGACGCCTGTACTTATCTTCGAGAGGCTGCCGAACCCTAAGGAAACATTTCACTTTCTTGTATTCTGTCGTGCAAATTTATTGATTCCGGAAACTAAATTTTTGTTATTCTATTCTCTCATAGATGGTGGGGACCCGTACTACCGGATCGGACGGTCAACCACCAGTGCCACCAATTAGGACCACGAGAGGTCGGGGTCGTGGTAGAGGCCGGGGCCATGGTAGAGGTCGAGGTGTAGCTTGTACAACATTTAGAGCAGCACCTGTAGAACCACCAGTTTCTCCAGCTCAGGAGGAGGTTCCAGATATAGTTGAGTCGGCGGGACCATCTCAAGCACCAGCTATGCCTATTGTGATTATAGGCCTTCAGGAAGCTTTAGCCCAGATATTGACTGTTTGCATTGGCCTTGCTCAGCTGGTTTTGGCTCAGGCCACACCAGCCACTTCTCAGGCCGGGGGAGGTACTCATACCCCTGTCGCCCGTACTCCAGAGCAGGTAGTGCAGGGACTTCAAATAGCGGGGGCACTACCAGTCCAGTCGGTTGCAGTTGCTGAGGCCCAGGTGGGTTCTATTATGAATAACGAGGAGCAGAAGAGACTAGAAAGGTTTGGGAGACTCCATCCTCCATCATTCAGTGGAACTAAGTCAGAGGATGCCCTGGATTTCTTGGACAGATGCCAGTGGATTGTTCGTACATCGGGTATTCTAGAGACTAGTGGGGTCTCATTTACTACTTTTCAGCTGATCGTAGCAGCCTTCAGATGGTGGGAGACTTATGAGAGGAGCAGACCAGTTGGTGCAGCACCACTTACATGGCATGCGTTCTCCGAATTATTCCTAGAGAAGTTTGTGCCACAGACCCGCAGTGAGAAACTCTACAGAAAGTTTGACTATTTACGTCAGGAGGACCTGTCCGTGACCTAGTATGAGATACGATTTTTAGAATTGGCTCGTCATGCAGTCTGGTTGATTCCTACTGAGAGGGAGAAGATAAGGAGGTTCATTAATGGCCTCAACCAGTAGTTTCGTTTTGTTACGACTCTGGGAAATATAGCATGTGCTAAATTCAATAAGGTGGTTGATAGTTCTCGACGGCTAGAAATGGTCAGTACTTAGGAGCATGAGGAGAGGTAGGCCTAGGGGTCTCGTGGTCCGGGTAATTCCAGCAGTGTTCCTTCTGTGGGACAGTCCTATCACAACAGGGGTCGACCTTATAGGCCAGCTCAGATGGCTCATCCAGCTCATCGTGGCACATCGGCTAGCCATGGTTTA